ACAGCCTAGGGAAGCGATCGGCGCAGAAACTCCAGCAGGAGCGTCAAGCGCAGCAAGCTTCGAAGGCAATACCGAGCTGGAGGCCAAGGACGACACTGCCCGTGCGCAGGCTATCGCAGCCGAGGCCAAGCGCTCGTCGGACGCCAAGTGACAAGCCAAGGCGGAGGCCTCCAAGGAGCAGGGCAAAGGCACGGAGGTGAATAAACCTCAATGACAAACGAGCACGGGCGCCCATCGGACCCTGACGGAGGGGACGTCGGCAACAGATACCGAGTCTGGGGATGGACGAAGCGTGGAATTACATACGCACCGGCCAATCCAACATAGTTTGGCCACGAGGCACTCGTCGAGGCACAGGATCACAAGGAATCAGAAGTTCGAGTGGAATCCCGCCACCCATCTGGGAGAAGCCGGTCTAACGATGTCTTTCTTTCCTCTTCCAAGACCCCCTCTTCCCCTTCGAGGAAGGGCATTTCATTGCTCCCGATTAATATACACCGCCTCCCCCAGGCGACCGGCGACCAACCAGAAACATGAAGACACCCCCACACCATCCCTTTCAAAAAACAATGCAACACGCACTCTGCCTGCTGCGCGCAGGGCTACCACCCCTACGAAAAGAGAATACAAAATGCACCTCGCGGCTAAATCGGGATAGCGCGCGGCCACCCAGCGATCACTGTCAAGTGGTTTTTGAAAGGGACGGCGGGGGTGGTGGCGTATGGCCTGCTGTGCGCAGGCCGCAGGCCCACCAGACACAACGATGGGCATCGGTTTTCGACAAGGATGATGGGGGCCGACATGTTTCCCGATATGTGCTGTCACGTGCGCAGGCGCACCCGACACACTCTGCACGTGCCCCGAACGTGGCCCACCTGGCGCGGCTGGAGTATGCAGTACACCTGGCGCACGCGGAGCACGTGACGCATCTGGCGCACCAGGCGCGCCTAGCACGCTCGGGCCCCACGGGTGCCTGGCGCGCGTGGCGCGCCTGGCACGCGTGGCGCACTTCGCCACAGCGTCGCGCACATGGGGTCGGTTTTGGTTCCCAGTAGCTGTCCATCCAAAGACGACTGCTGAACATGCTCAGGCTTGGGTGTTACTCATGTGTTGGGAGGGCGGGTGGGAGTGAGCTAGACGACTTGCTACCTAGGGGGTGTATTGACCCCTCCCCCATACCCCCTCCCCTGAACCCGGACCGGGGTGGGTCGCGAGGTGTCACAGGGTCCCGTTTGGCCCAAGATGGCTCCAAGAGGGCCCCAGCGAGCCAACGATGGCCTCCAAGATCGCTCAAGATAGCCCAATATGGCTCAAGATAGCGAGCAGCATGCTTCCAAGAGGCCCCAAGGGGGGCACAAGACGGATCCAAGTGTTTTTGGAGACCCCTCGGGACCACCCCGAGAAGCCAATATCCTTGAAACACCTAAGGAACATCTACGAAGTTGGCCTTCTCGCACCTTCGCTTCCAAAAGCCTCAAGATTGCCCCAAGATAGCCCAAGAGAGCGCCAAGAGTGGCCCAAGAGGCCCCCAAGACGGCCCCAAGAGCGCCCAAGATCGCCCCAAGAGCGCCCCAAGGGGGCCCTCAGAGGCGATGTCGAGGGCTCCTAGGGGGGGGACCTAGATAAGGGACCCCCCCCTTTGATCGATTGCCTCCAAGGTGGCCCCAGGAAGCCCTCCGAAGCTGCCAGGAGAGCCCCGAGAGAGCCCAATAAGGCCCCAAGAGGGGCCCCAAAGGGGCCCCAAGAGGGCCCCAAGACGTCCCAAATGAGTCCCAGGGGGACGCCAAGACCCCCCAAAGAGCCCCAAGGTGCCCCAAAAGAGCACCAAGAGGACGCCAAGACCACCCCAAAAAGCCCCATAGCTCCAGGAAGGCCTCCGATGCTCCAAGATAGCCTCCAACATAACGCGACACGTTCCTCCCCATCCTCTCTTTGCCCGCTCTGTTTCACTATATGCGTCTATGCTTTCCATTTCCCGTCAGCTCATGTGGGAAGGGTTTCTGAACGGGTTGGCGGGGATTCTTTTTCGGTCGCGGCCACGAGCGAAGAGGCAGGCGGCGGGCAGGGTGTCCGGGCCAACGGGCAAGCCTAAGTAGCTACAAGAGGCGCACTAGCCGGCCGTCTGGCGGGGATTCTTTTTGATTGGCGGCTCACAACGACAAATCCAAGAAGCGGAACGAACTCGGCTGGGGCACAGGGCGAGATAATTAGCTGCAGAGGCGCATAGGCCACGGCAGCAGGTGCACGTGCCAGGGACAAAATTACCCTCATTAGGACGTTGGCGACCCGAAAACGGAACGCAAGCCCGAACTGGGGACGGAAGGAGCTGTCGCACAAGTGGCGCCAGGCTCCGACCGTACCGAACAGCGCGTATGGCCGGGGCACGCTGCGCTGAAGCGGCACGGAGTGGCCGGGGTGGCCGCACCGTCCATGAAACGAAGAGGAGGCCAAGGAAGAGGAGAAACACAGCAGGCACAAGGGCACGCGAAGCGTCGAAATACTAAGGCACGCAAGCGCGGCCTGTGGCATGCGGGCAACATCGCCCGTCGCACTACCAGCCCCGTGTCTACTTCCAAGGAGGCGACAGCAAATGGAGGAGAGATGCTCCAAATTCGGAAGCACATGCAGTATTATACACTGGGAAATGTGCGAGCAGCAGCCAAACAGCTGAGAGCGCCAGATCAGAAAGTAAGGAAGGAGCCTCCCCGACAAAAATGAGACACCTGTTTGGGGTTGTCTCACCCTCCTCCTCGTCTGCTTCTTCATCAACCCCCGCCTCCTCCTCCTCAGCGCGCACGAAGGCGGAGCAAGCTGACGGCACGATCAAGTAAACGACACTGCCAAATCAAGAAGTCGGGAGAGCGCTTTTCGTTGATACTAAGACGGAGCTTCGAATACAACGTCTTAAATGTTGGAAGCGGATGCTTTCGGAACCTTCGGATCATGTCGCATGCAAACCCTTTCTCCAGCAATTCATGGACGATCTGGACAGCTTACGTGACCATGATAGTACCGCTTTCATTGCCGAAGAATGTGATCGGCGACCTCTACTATTGCTTCAATAGCCTCTGCTTGGGATTTTCTGAAATGCGACTTTATTGTACTACGTGCCGCTTTTCTGTCTGTGACGGTCCCGCTGCCGATGTGGGCGCCACCCGCGGCTGAGCCCGCTCCTTCTGTTGATGAGCCGCACGCGTGCGACGTTGTACTGTCTTCGGGTGAGGTGTGCGGTGCTACATTCTCCAGTGTTGCTGGCCTGCGGTTGCATAAGCGCCACGTGCACCACGAACAAAAGCTTGTCAATTAACTCATCATCACCAACAAGGGCCCGTCCTGCCACGTGTCGCTCAGCAGCGTGCGTGTTGCTCGCCGACGTGCTGCTCGAGCAGTGCAGGTATACAAATGTAGTGGTATTGCAACGTCTCGCCGATCGAGACCACCGTGCCTGTCGACCTGTCGTGTCCCTGTTGCGAGTTCGAAGCTATGTCACTGGACGAATTCCATAGTGATTCGCAAGGCTGTTTAGCTGTGATTGTTCTTCATCTCCATCCTCCTCATCGGCATCATGCCGACGCCGCCGCCGCCGCGGGTACGACACCGACGCCGTCATTACTTCACGGACGCCGCCGCACCGCCGCCATTAAGACACTGACGCCGCCGACGCCGTCGTTACGACACCGACGCCGCCGTTACGACACCGCCGCCACTACGAAACGACACCGACGCTGCCGTTACGACGATCTCGTCATTTTTGTCCAGGAGTGTGATTGTGGCATCGTTTCTGCAGGTGCGAGGTGGGTCAAACTCGTGCTACCTTTGGTCCGCAGTCCACTCTCCGACACTCCCGTGCCGGGATGGACGCCTGGCAGCTCGGCGCCACTGGCGGGGGAGCCCCTGGGCACGAAGCGTCGCGCCGTGGCAGTGGGGGGCACTCCGCACTCGAAGAACATCGAGAAGCTCTTGCTACTCGTTGCGAAACTTTGCTTGAAGAACGCCCAGGATATGCGCGCAGTTCAAGCCACCCTGTTCAAGACGATAATGTTCGAGCGACGTCGTGATCGCTCAAGCCGCCCGGAAGTCTTTGAAGACCTACACCGACAGCGCCAAAAAGATGCAGCCTGAGCATCCTCTAGCTGTGTACATGTTGGCAGCTATCAACCGTGCGGCGGCCATCGTCGAGGGTCTCGAAGAGACCCACAAGAACGCGATCATCAACCACCGCTAGCAGGTGACGGACCCGGGGCAGCTGAAGGACATCATTTACCACGCGAAGACGGCCAGAGCGTTCGACAAGAATAGGGTCAAGCTTCGTCTCGCTGCGCACGCTTCCGTGGAGCCTGTGGTCAAAGGCATCTTGCGTGTTGGTCAACTCTTAGGTGGCCACCAGATGTACGGGCAGGCGCCCAAAGGGGGACATCCAGCGATTGTTCCAGCAGCTGGAAGCGATGGTAGCCGACGACGAGTGAATCCTGGAAGGGGCAGTACGTGAGTTGCGTGCTGCGCCAGTCGGTCCCTGGGTCTTCTCGCTGTGCGCAGTGCCGCCTTTCAAGTTCTACGATATGTCTACGTCTTCAAGGCGGGGCGCCTGCGAGGGGGACTTGGTGGGCCCTCCCGTTCACTCGGTGGGGAAGGGCAGCTTGCGTTGCCGCGAGGTGGACGGCGATGGTAGAGCTCTGCTCAGGATCCAATTCGATATTGTAATCGTGATGCGGGCATTTGGAGGTCCGACAGGCAGTCGGTAACCGTAACCTCCTCCTCCTCCTCCTCCTCCTCCTCCTCCTCCTCCTCCTCCTCCCCCTCCTCCCGGTTCTCGCCCTCCTCCCCCCGAGGATCGTTAACCCTTGAACGCTCGGCGGCTCTTCGATCGCCGAATCGTTCCAGGTCAGCCGATCCTGGACCACTGGCGGCTTTCCACCTTGAACGCCCGCGCTGGGGTCGCCGCCGTCGGCACGACACGAAGTTGCCGTACCTCCTCACGGCTCGCCGGGCGGGGGAGTCGCCTCGGGGCGCGAGGCGTCGGCGTCGCCGTCGGTCTTCTCGAAGCCGAGAAGCCTGCGCGCTGCCCCGCGCGCCCCAGCGCGTGGGGGGGGCGACTGGAGCAGGGGGAAGAAGAGAGGGGCGAGGGGACAGGGGAGGGAAAGGGGGATGGAGAGAGTTTTCCCCCTCCTCCTCCTCCTGCTCCTCCTCCTCCTCCTCGTTTTCCTTAACGCTTCGCGTTTTCACCAATTCCAATTTCAATTCCTCCTCCTCGTTTTCCGTCTCCGCGGAACTCCTAAACCTCCGAGCGAATCCGTCGTCGTCGTGCTGCCGTTTTGTAAGTCGTTGTCGTAAGCTGTGGTCGCGACCCCAGAACCGGGGCGGGGAGTGGGGAGGGGAGGGGGGGAGCCTGACGTTTGCTTCTGACACAGCGTGGCTCGCTCCACCTTGGAACGACTGGCGGCTCTTCGATCGCCCGATCATTCCACACCGGTCGACTCTGAGTCACTGGCGGCGTTCAACCTTGAACGCCCGCGGCGAAGCCGCCGCCGCGTCGAATCGACACGAACCTTCCATAATGTCGACGACTTGCCTGATCACAGCAATCATTACAACAATTCACGCTTCTCGCTCGAACGCGCTTCCCGCCTCGTGCAGCCTGTCACAATTTGGCTTATCACAACAAAGATCGCAACAACGCGCGCGTCTCGCTGCTCGAACGCGCTTCCCGTCATCATCCGCCAAGCTTCTCCCCTGTGCAGCCTGGCGCCATAGAACGTACAGGTTCGGGTCAAACATGTTCAAACTTTGCCAAATGACAGCGGTCCACGTTCCTCGATCCTCGAAGACGTTTCCAGTTATCCGCAAACCCTCGACCTGGTGCAACCTGGCACCGTATCGAGTCCATATACCTGTTAAACTCCTTCACAATAATGCTCAAGGCCAACTTTGTAAAACAACAAATCGTGATAAAACTCGTGGGGTCACCAGCGTGAGAGATGCCTGTTCTTCCCAACTCCACTCCATGGAGCTCCGCATTCGCAGTTTGAGACGAGGGGGTGGATGTCGGAGAGGCCCCCAAGAAACCGCAGAGAAACAACGCAGCTGCTTCTGAAGGCTGCAGCCGTGCCACGCAGCATCGCGGTGGCGGATATGCGCGGACGTGCGGTTGCCTAAAGTATGAAAAATATACTGCTCATGTAAAAACATGCTTTATATATTAAAATGCACGCACGCACGCACGCACGCACACACGGACAGACACACACACACACATACTTATTTTTTGGCGTTGCGGTCACGCTCGCAGCGGAGCGGCTAGTGAAGGTCGAGCGGGAGCCGGACGCGCGGGGCGGCCCAGATAACGCAGCGTGGAGATACTGGATCCATCCAGAGGGCATCGACAACATCACCCGAGAGGGGGCAGTCGCGAGGGGAGCCGCGGGGGACGAGGGACGGCACGGGAGAAGAGCAGTGCGCAGTCCAACGACGAGGAGGAAGCGCAGAAGCAGACCACAACGGCGGAGTGCACACGGGACGAGACAGCAAGCACTTTCGGGGGCCCCCTGGGCAGGAAGGCGCAGGGGGGGAGACAACGACCGCAAGCGGGCGCCGAAGGCGAGCCCAGGCGGGGAGCCGGGAGGATGAGCAGCAGCCGCTCTCTTCGAAGCCAAGGCCCCACAGAGGAAGGCTGAGATATAGATGTATATATATATACATCTAAATACACATATTTGTTTATATATATATATCGAGAGAGAGAGAGAGAGAGAAAAAAACAAAAAACAAAAAAAGGACAGGCATGCATAACAAGAATACGAATAATAATAACAACAACATGAACAACAACAACAACAACAACAACGACCACAACAACAACAACAACAACAACAGCAGCAGCAGCAGCAGCAACAACACCACCAACAACACCAGCAACAACAACAACAGCAGCAACAACACCACCAACAACACCAACAACAACAACATAATACGTCCAGCAACAACGAACACCAACACCAACACCAACACCAACACCCGACACCAACACCACCACCACCACCATCGTTTTACCCTCATGCGCGATGCTTCCACACGAAGTATGCGACCATCATGATAACGATGCACATCATGGAGGATTATTGTTCTATAGCGGGGTCCGTCATTCCCATTCTCATATCTCCCGCCCAATAAGGTCTTGCAAACACCTCCTCCGAGGAATTTTAACATATCCCGCCTCGAAAACGCATGCCCGCGCCTTGCTGCGCCGATGCGAGACCGCCAGTGGAGCCCCAGCCAAGGGTAAAGCACAAGGACGTATCGAGCGACAGGATTGCCTTGGTGGGGATGGGGGCTGTCGGCGGCGAGGCAAGGACCTGGCCCTGAATAGAAAGGGAAGTCTCGAGCAGGGCCGCTGTTGTTGCTGGGAGCGGCGCCAATGCTGACGAGAGTGGGGCGCTAGTCCACCGCAAAACAAAGCGAGGTCTCGAGCGGGAACGCTGGTTTTGTTGGGATGGCGGTTGTCGACGGCGAGGAGGACCACCGCCTTGAGTAAGAAGGGGGAAGGTCTCGAGCGGGAGCCGTGGTTTTGTCGGGACGGGGGCTGTCGGCGGCGAGGAACATCACCGTCCTAACGAAAAAGGGAGGAAGCCTCGAGCGGGAGCGTTGTGCTTGCTGGGAGCGGCGCCAATTCAAAAGAGAGTATCCGCCGTAAAACGGGAGGAAGTCTCGGGCGGGAGCGCTGGTTTTGTCGGGACGGCGATTTTCGGCGGCGAGGAGGGGCACCGCCTTGAGTAAAAAAGGGAGGAAGTCTCGAGCGGGAGCGTTATTGTTGCTGCGGGCGGCGCCGATGACAGAACGAGTAGCGCGCCAGTCCAAGGTAAAAAGAGAGGAAGTCTCGAGCGGTAGCGCTGGTTTTGTTGGGACGGCGGCTTTCGGCGGCGAGCAAGAGCACCGGCCCGGAGGAAGTCTCGAGCGGGAGCGTTTTTGTTGGTGGGGGGCCCGTTTTCGCGCCTCATTTTCAATGAAAATGTAGCCGGCGCCGAGGCGAGAGCATCAAAGCGCCTGGGGGGGGTCCGACAATAATGATTGTTCAGCAATTAACATTCAACAACCAAACAACACATGAAAGACAACATGTCGGTGTCTCGGCGAAGGCAAAAGCGGTGGATGGCCCAGGGGGCGGGCATCACGCGCGTATGCGCCAGGGATCCTCGTGCAAGACGTGGGCCTTCGGAGCCCCCTCTGGCCATTTGCAATGACAAGGGGGCCCAGGGACACACAAATAAAAAAACACAAATCCCAGGATTCCCAGTCTTTTTCAATATTCTCTGAACTTTCGTCTTCCCCCCGAATTCCCATATGTTCCCATACTTTTTTCTTCTGCGTGCCGATCCCTCCTGGGCAATGCGCCCCTGTTGCGGCCGCCCAAAATTGTCTTCCTGAGGGGCTCCGCAAAACTTGGAGCGGGCGGTCTGTGGGCGGAGTTCGGCCTCTTGGGGCCCTCGCGGGGCCTCGGGACCGTCAGACAACGACTCGGGACGAAAAACCGGCCCCAGGGAGAGTGGCCCAGACCTCCGGGGCCCACGCACCGACGAAAACTGGAGCAGCCAGGGGTCCGGGTCAGGGAGGGTCTGGCTGCAGAGGGGGAGACATCGCCCTGGCATCGGCGACACATCGCCGAAGGATTGGCGATGGGCCCCCGATGGCGAAACCGCACGTGACCGGGATGAATGGGCCATCGGGCCCCAATCGGCGATGAATCGGCGCTGGAGCGTCAAACTCTGGGACGCGCTCGTCAAAAAGCGTCGGCGAACCCGAGCTCTGGCGTACTCGAGTCTACGTTTCCCCGGCCAAGAGCCCCTTTCCTGAGCCCAGAATAGTCCTCCCTCCAGCGTCGTGGCCGCCGGGCGCCTTCCCTCCCCTGGGCGTCGCTCAAATGGAGGGGGGGGGGGCCATGGGGCCCCCCCCCCCCCCACGTGTCGCCCCACCGTGACCCGCCATCGCTCGGGCGTCCATTCCCCGTGCATTTCTACGGCTTCGCGCGCGCATCCGATCGCAGGGTGGCCCAAAAGGCTCCTCGATGGTCCACGCCGAGAGAACATGCAGACGTCCGAGCGATGCCAAGATTTCGCGACGCCCGAGCGTCTGCCCCTGCTGCAGCCCTCCCCCGCCTCCCCGCACCTCCCGGCGTCCCGGCAAAGGGCCGGTGGAGCCTGCCGCGCCTGTGGCCCATGGTCGCCTGCTCCCACGCGGGGGCGGGGCCGCATGAGCCGGCAAGGGGTCGGGGGCCAGAGGAGGAGGAGAAAGAGGAGGAGGATCGAGGAGGAGGAGGATCGAGGAGGAGGAGGATCGAGGAGGAGGAGGAGGAGGATCGAGGAGGAGGAGGAGGATCGAGGAGGAGGAGGAGGAGGAGGAGGATCGAGGAGGAGGAGGAGAAGGATCGAGGAGGAGGAGGAGGAGGAGGAGGATCGAGGGGGAGGAGGAGGATCGAGGAGGAGGAGGCCCCCGCCCTGGCAGGCAGGAGGCGCAGCTCGCGGCCGAGCAGGGGGAAACACCACCCTCATAGTAAGCACCCCGACAAGCGAAACCGTTTTAGTACGCACGCCCGGGGAAGGCATCGAACAGAGCAGGGCTGTTCAGTCAACGCCCAAGGCCGTTTAACAAACGTTTGGCAAACGCCAACTAGGGGGCCTGTTGGAGGGGGGCGGAGGCAGGACGGAGGCGGGGGGGAGCCGGGAGAAGTAAGGGGGGGAGGAAGGGCAGGGGGGATGGCAGAGGAGGAGGCGGCGGGAGGAGCAGGAGGATGAGCGGGCGAGGAAAGGAGAAGCAACACGAGCGGATACGGAGTGGGGGACTGGTGCACGACAGCAGGGGGAACCGCACCTCGGCAGAGCTGACAAAGCTGCCCCGAGCACCGGGGCACTGGGCGGGATCGGGAAGAGGGGGGCCCAACACCGGCAGCTGCAACAGGGGCGGACAGCCCAGGGGGTGGGGGCATCACATGAGCGACGATCAAAAACAGACTTTACACGAGATGACACAGCGACCCTACGCCGCAGCTTACGCGGGCCGCCAGCGCGGCAC